TGTGTGTGTGTGTGTGTATACATGCTAAAAAAAAACGTTCTTCGCCTAGAACGCCAAAGGTAAATTTCTTGTGTTGAGACTTTTAATCCAAACTATTAGTGATTTTTTATTTTGCCCCCCCCCCTCTCTAAAACCCCTCCTCCGGGGGAAGTGGACAAAAGAATTTCCAAAGTCTTGCTATCGCCCTATTGTACCTCTTCATTCTAAATTTTACAAATGACCGTTAGAGTCTCCAGGGTGACATAAAATCTCCCCCTAAATCTCCCCTATCATCGATTCCTCTACAGAGAAAGAGGTCAACGCCAGCATACAGACGGACCACGCCCACATGGAGCTCATCAAAGAACAGCTGGGATACGTGGCACTGGACTTTAATAAGGAGTTCAAGAAAATGACCAAAGGTCATCGTAAAGCCCCGGCAGAGGAGGCAGTGAACACGACTTATGAACTGCCCGACGGTCAGATTATCAAGATCGCCTCTGAGCGGTGAGACAAACATGTAGTTGTGGTTTAGATATTAACTCCTCCTAAAAGTGTATAATATTATGTAATTCTTAAAAGCATATTGTTTCAAAGGCGTGTGTAATTTCTCAGGCATATCATATTCATTAAGCATATTATCTCATTTAAAAATTAATATAATTATTTTCATATCGTTATTCTTGCGACAGCGACACGTAGAGAAAACGGAAATTACTAAGCAACTAGTACAAGCAATTAGAAGAAACAATAGTATACATGCGACTTCGTCTTCATCAAAGTCGTCTTCATTTGGTTAAACCAATTGCCGTCAGGTTTTATCACTACATTTAGGACGACGTGTCTACTCTCCTTTGTTTCATTATTAGCCGTATGGCTGATCTTTTTATTTTCTTGTCCTCAAATAAGTTGCATCAGATACATGATAAACTTGATCTACGTATAAAAGCTGTCTTCTTGTAGGTACCCCACTCTTAGCTTAGTTTATTTTTGTGTTTTTGCTTGGTTTGACTTTTCCATCGTGAATTATTATATCACCGAACGATGCTGTAGCCATTTATTTAGCCAAAGGACGTTATTACAGATGCTAACATTGAGAATACAGTCTTCACATTAGATAAATTGTTATCACATTAGACTACTCAAGCGGAACCATTAAACTTTGTTTTCTGCCTACCTGTATTTTTATCCGCCACGCAAAATATAACCACTATCGTGTTAATGTACTTCTCTGTACTCAAACTCAGACACCCTCCACCCGTTATAAATCTAACTCCATTACAAAAAAAACAAAACAAAACAAACAAAAAAATCAAACAAAATAAACACAACAACACCCACATCATCTCCGGCTATCTACCCACCACCAGGTTTCGGTGTGCCGAGGCCTTGTTCCAGCCCAAGCTGATAGACCGGCCGAACCTCTTGGGCCTGCATAAGATGGTGCATACGGTGATTGGTCAGTGCGACTCGGACATCCGGAAGTCACTGTGGAGTCACGTGGTACTCTCAGGCGGAAGTTCCATGTTTGAGGGTCTCAGCGCCCGCCTGGAGCAGGAACTGGCCAAACTCAAACCGATTGGGTCAAAGGTGAGGAAGGGGAATACAGGGACTGCTCAAGTTTGGTGGGGGTCATGGCACAGCCAGGTGACGTGAGATGGGTGAATGCCATGTTTTCATGTGGAGTGGGAAAGCGATACAGGGTGATGCAATTTATCTAATGGGTCAAGTGGGGTCATATGGGGTGGAAAAGTGATGTGAGGTCACAGTGGAGTGAGAAGTAGCATGGGATTATTTGTGAGGCATCTTAGGCACTTATCAGAATAAGGAAACTAACTAACGAAACCAACACTTTTCCACCAATTGGACAATTTTCATATTTCATTTGTCCGTTTAAAAACATATTTCAGTGCGGATTTTACTGCAACACATTGATTAAAAGCGCATAAAGTGTACATTTACAGTTTCTAAGGACAACTAGCTCCGACAGGCAGGACAGTAGGAGTCTTGAAATGATCGGTTTTGCGTCGTGGATGACGTCGACCCTTTATTAAAAAATAGATCATATAAAAAGTATGAAGTGAAAACATAACATGTGTCATTATTTGAAAATAACCTTCTACCTTCTCCCCACTCCCCCTGCCCATTCTCCCAACTTTTCAAGGTCAAACTTTCGGTGCATGAAGACCGCATAGCCTCTGCCTGGATCGGCGGTTCTGTCTTCGCCTCAATGTCCACTTTCAGTGACCACTTGGTGACTAAAGAGCAGTATCAGGAGGCTGGACCCGCTGTACTGTACAAAGACCTGTAGACATCTTCAGATCACCCCCGCCAAATTCATGCCCAGTTTCGTCAAGCTGTTGTGTGTGCAAGAGAAAGGGGTCAGCAGGAAGACATTAGAGCTGTGTTCATGCTCGTCTGTTTTATAGCACACTGACCACGGATACACACACACACTCACACCACACACA